CTGTCTGTCTGTCTGTCTGTCTGTCTATCTATCTAAATATCGAATCTCTCTCCCCCCCTTGCCACCCCCCCCAGGGAGCAGCTTCTCTGCCCCCCCCCCTCTCTGGGGTCGGTTGGAAAAGGACCAGGGGGATTAGGGGCTCTGGAGGAGAGGCAGCCCCAGAGATGTCAAGAGGTGCTAATTGCTATGTTTGCCAGGCAATTAAGGCAAGTGAGCACCAGAGAAAAAGCAGGTGTGTGTGTGTGTGTGTGTGTTTGTGTTTGTGAGATCTGGAGACATATAAACAATTTTCCTCTGCCCTCCCGCTGCTTCTTCCTCTGCTGAGGTAAGCCCAAAGCTTCCTTCCTTCTTTCCTTCCATCCTCATCCTCCTTTCTTCCCTTCCTTCCATCCTTATCCCATTCCTTCTTTCCTTCTTCCTCCCTCCCTCCCTCATCTTCTTCTCTTTCTTCTTTCCTTCCATCCTTATCCTATTCCTTCTTTCCTTCTTCCTTCCTTCCTCAACTTCTTCTCTTCTTCCTTTCCTTCCGTCCTCATCATCCTTTCCTCCCTTCCCATTCCTTCTTCATCCACTTTCTCCCTTCCTTCCTTCCTTCCGTTCTCATCCTATTCCTTCCTTCCCTCCTTTCTCCCCCACTCCTCCTCCTTCCGTCTTTCCTTTCCCTTCCTTCTTTCCTTCTTTCTCTCCTTCCCTCCCTCCTTCTCTCCCCTGGAGTCCATAGAACTACAAACTGTAAAAATGAAACCCGCAAAAACTTTAAAAAAATAAGCTATAAAAATAAATAAAAAGACCCCCCCTCTTCCAATAACACAAGCTACCATCTTATTTATCCCTTCCCTTCTTCTTTTTAATTCTCACACTGGCTCCATCCTCTTCCAGCTTCCAACCCCTGCAAGGCCATTTCACGGGATCCCGCCCCGTGGGCCGGGGATGATGGGCCCTGCCATTCCAGAGGACGCTAAGGGTTTAGGGTCGAGAGGTTTTGCACGCTGGCTGGCGGGGGTCCAGAAATCCAGCCCCCTTTCTCTCCCCCTGCCCTGCTTCCATCCCAGTTAATCCTGTTACCCAATTCCGGCAACCGGGAGGGTCTCCGGGGAGCCCCCATTATGCTGATCCTGGGTTACAAGCAGTCTCTGATCTGCTCCGGGGAGACCCCCGCCGGCTCTAATCGGGGGGGGGGGGGCTTTGATAATTGTGACAGCCTGAAAACGCGGCCCGCTGACACACACGCACGGACGCCGAGCCCAAGGCTCGCCAATTAATTAGCTTCCGCGGAAAGCCGGCGTGGCACGAAGGAAAGGAATGGCGGTGACATCTGCAATGGTGCATGGAAGTTGAAAAAATAATACTCAATCCCCCCCTTTTTTCCCCTCCAGAAGTTGTGAATGCTCCAACGTGGAAAAGTCTTTAAGAAGATGTTGGATTATCCATTTGTCTGAAGTGGTGTAGGGTTTCCTGCTTGAGCAGGGGGTTGGACTAGATGACCTCTAAGGTCCCTTCCAACTCTGCTATTCTATTCTATCCTTCATTCCATTATTCTAATTCTATTCTATTCTTTCATTCTCTATTCTATTCTTCATTCTGTTATTCTAATTCTAATTTCTTCTATTCTTTCATTCTCTCTTCTCTTCTTCATTCCATTCTCTTCTCTCTTCTCTTCTTTATTCCATTATTCTCATTCTAATTCTCTTCTTCATTCCATTATTCTAATTCTATTCTTTCATTCTCTCTTCTATTCTTTCATTCTCTATTTTATTCTTTCATTCTCTATTCTATTCTATTCTGCATTCCATTATTGTAATTCTAATCTAATCTTTCATTCTCTCCTCTTCTATTCTTCACTCCATTAATCTATTCTCTTCTCTTCTCCATTCCATTATTCTAATTCTAATTCTCTTCTTTCATTCTCGATTCTCTTCTTTCATTCTCTATTTTATTCTTTTGTTCTCTATTCTATTCTTTTCTATTCTATTCTTCATTCCATTATTCTAATTCCAATTCTATTCTTTCATTCTCTATTCTCTTCTATTCTTCACTCCATTATTCTATTCTCTCTTCTCTTCATTCCATTATTCTAATTCTAATTCTCTTCTTTCATTCTCTATTTTATTCTTTCATTCTCTATTTTATTCTTTCATTCTCTATTCTATTCTATTTTGCATTCCATTATTCTAATTCTATTCTATTCTTTCATTTCCTATTCTCTTCTATTCTTCACTCCATTATTCTATTCTCTCTTCTCTTCTTCATCCCATTATTCCCATTATTCTAATTCTATTCTATTCTTCTACTCTTCATTCCATTTTTCTCTCCTCTCTTCCCTTCTCTTCTTTCCCCGTCTCCAAATCATCTTTTGGCCTCCGCCAGGGGGTCTAAACCAGCTTGCCAAACTGCAGAACCAAACCCACCCACCCCTTTGGCACGCACCCCCAAAAATGCACTCACGGGAGGCGGCTGCAAGGAGGGGAACATTTACACCCCCGTAACCCCTCGGAAAACGGTGAGAACCCCCTACCCCGAAGACGCAGAGGCCCTCCGTGCATGCTCAGAAGCTGTGTTTTTCAGCCCTTCTTCTCCAGCTTGGCTTTCTTGGCAAAGGCACCTCGGCCTAGGAAAAACCAAGTTTCGGCCATCTGCTGCCTCTCTTCGGTATGGAGGGGGGGGGAAATATTGGGAAAGAATCCGGCGTGGGGGCGTTGTTTTTTTCCCATCGGCTGGAAGAGAGGGAGATGCTCGAAATTCGGGGTGAATCGCCCTGCTCCAGAACTGCCTGCAGCCATTCCCATTCGGGGAGGGGTGAGGGGCGTGCCATCTTCTCCCGCAAAGCGTCTTCCGTGCCAGTTTTCCGGAGCATGCCAGCTCTTCCCACCAGCCTGAGATGAACGCCTGGGAATGTTCCC